ACAGCTTTGTCAGTGTCAAGCAGGACAGGATGCCATTACTGAATGAACCTGTAAAATGACTCACTTCACCTGGAAAAACAAAGGACGCATCTCATAATTGTACCATATATATATATATATATATATGGCACTACTTTTGACCAGGGTTCTGGTCAAAAAGTAGTGCACTACATATGGAATAGGGTGCAATTTGGGACACCTATCAGAAAGAATGTTTTGGGCATAATGTTTTTAGGAACAATCACCAACAAAGTAACAGAAAATATGTTCTCAGAGAATGTCACACACCTGCATCAGTATCACTATGAAATGAAAACAACAAACAAAAAAACGCTACAAATTGTCCAGTTAAAATTGCACTTTGGTCTAGAAAAAACGACATACTAAAGATAATGAATAATTTAACAAGAGCTTGTCATCAAGCAAATGTGGCAGTCGGCAGACCTTTTCTAAAAACACCAGTACTGTCAAAAGTCCGATGCACTGTAATCACAACAGCAGCTACGTGAGGTCAACAGGTCACATAATGAAATAATGCTTTAACTTTTAATCACATCATTCATACATGAAAACAGGTAAAACAATGCTTTACCTTGATCACATCATTCATACATGAAAACAGGTAAACAATGCTTACCTTGATCACATATTCATACATGAAACAGGTAAACATGCTTTACCTTGATCACATCATTCATACATGAAAACAGTAAAACAATGCTTTACCTTGATCACATCATTCATACATGAAAACAGGTAAAACAATGCTTTACCTTGATCACATCATTCATACATGAAAACAGGTAAAACAATGCTTTACCTTGATCACATCATTCATACATGAAAACAGGTAAAACAATGCTTTACCTTGATCACATCATTCATACATGAAAACAGGTAAAACAATGCTTTAACTTGATCACATCATTCATACATGAAAACAGGTAAAACAATGCTTTACCTTGATCACATCATTCATACATGAAACAGGTAAAACAATGCTTTACCTTGATCACATCATTCATACATGAAAACAGTTAAACAATGCTTTACCTTGATCAATCATTCATACATGAAAACAGGTAAACAATGCTTACCTTGATCACATCATTCAACATGAAAACAGGTAAACAATGCTTTACCTTGATCACATCATTCATACTGAAAACAGTCAACAATGCTTTAACTTGATCACATCATTCATACATGAAACAGTAAACATGCTTTACTTGATCACTCATTCATACATGAAAACAGTAAAACAATTCTTTTAACTTGACTACATCATTCATATTGAAACAGTAAACAATGCTTTAACTTGATCACATCATTCATACATGAAACAGTAAAACAATGCTTTAATTGATCACAACATTCATACATGAAACAGGTAAACAGCTTTAACTTGATCACATCATTCATACATGAAACAGGTAACAATCTTAACTTGATACATCATTCATACATGAAAACTGTAAAACAATGCTTTAACTTGATCACTCATTCTCACTAAAACTGTAAAACATGCTTTAACTTGTCACATCATTCTACATGACAAACAGGTAACATGCTTTAACTTGATCCACATGCTTTAACCTTGATCACATCCATTCATACATGAAAACAGGTAAAACAATGCTTTACTGATCACATCATTCATACATGAAAACAGGTAAAACAATGCTTTACCTTGATCACATCATTCATACATGAAAGTCATATCCGTGTAGATAACTGAAGACGAAGCTTCTGACTGCTTTTCAAATAGAACATTGATATCATTCAAAAGATGTCAATAAGTCATATATACTGTATCTAACCTCAGTCCTATTCCAAGTCAATCAAAATGAGAATCAAATTAAACTTATTAGCTTATAAGTGCTCTTCCTGAATTCAAACCCCTCAAAACTAAAAACAACAACCACACTGAGTGTATAGAACATTATCAACGCCTGCTGTTTCCATGACATAGACTGACCAGGTGAATCCAGGTGAAAGCTAAAGCATTGGGGTCAACATGGGCCAGCATCCCTGTGGAATGCTTTCAACACCTTGTAGAGTCCATGCCCCGATGAATTGAGGCTGTTCTGAGGGCAAAGGGGGAGGAGGGGTGCAACTCAATATTAGGAAGGTGTTCTTAATGTTTTGTACACTCAGTGTATTGACAACTAGCTAGTTCCCCTACAACCATTTTCTCTGATAAGACCCCTGCATCAGAACTCATAGAAATCATTTCTCTTTTTGAAAATTGGGGCTATGTCAGTCTATTAAAAAATCAATCTGACAGAACTTTTGACAGTATTTCAATCTGAAGGAAGTATGGTTTGAAATGACTGAAACGCATCAGAAAGGTATTGGGAAGTTCAGAAGATCATCAGGCGATTATTTTGTATGATCTTCTGTGTAGAAAACAACACCATCATTGATGTTCTTCTCCCCCCCTCCAATCTGATTTAGTGCCTGGTCTTGTCCATTCTGTTCTAATGAGGTTTGTGGACATTGGAGATGGAAACAGAAGACATATGATTGGGTCATAATATTTTGTAGCTTAAATGGTTCAAAAGATAGAGCCACACTTGTAGGAAGAAAACAGAAACTGCTCTGTTTATTACAACCTCATCTAGAGGCTACCGGAGGTTACTGACGTAACTCCGGTTCTATGAACAAAGCCCGATTTTATTTATCTCGTGACCCCATTTTCAAATCAGGACACACTATATGGGGTCGCGACCCCTAGTTTTGGAAATGCTGGCCTACACAGTTAAATTGTCTGCATTTGGTATGCAGATACTGTCGTTGGGGTAAATGCAGCAAAAGGGAAAAATAGGCAAAGCATTGCAATTACAGGTAACGGCCACAAGGTGTCATCTGATCTCATCTGACAGTGGGAACAACATCCTGACTGACTATATTATACAGTTCACCTTCATCAACTATTAATTAATTATTACACTGAACAAAAATATTAACGCAACATGTAAAGTGTTGGTCCCATGTTTCATGAGCAGAAATAAAATATCCCAGACATTTTCCATACGCACAAAAAATGTAAGTTTGTACAAATTTGTTTACATTCCTGTTCTGAAACATTTCTCCTTTGCCAAGATAATCCATCCACCTGACAGGTGTGGCATATCAAGAAGTTGATTAAACAGCATGATCATTACACAGGTGCACCTTGTGCTGGGGACAATAAAAGGCCACTCTAAAATGTGCAGTTTTGTCACACAACACAATGCCACAGATGTCTCAAGTTTTGAGGGAGCGTGCAATTGGCATGCTGACTGCAGGAATGTCCACCAGAGCTGTTGCCAGAGAATTTAATGTTCATTGTCTCTACCATAAGCCGCTTCTAACATCATTTTAGATAATTTGACAGTATGTCCAACCGGCCTCACAACCGCAGACCACGTGTACGGCTTCTTATTATAATTTTTTTGTGTGTGTATTTTACCCCCTTTTTCTCCCCAATTTCGATCTTGTCTCATCGCTGCAACTCCCCAACGGGCAAGGGAGAGGCGAAGGTCGAGTCATGCGTCCTCTGAAACATGACCCGCCAAACCGAGCTTCTTAACACCCGCCCGCTTAACCCGGAAGCCAGCTGCACCAATGTGCCAGAGGAAACACCATTCAACTGATGACCGAAGTCAGCCTGCAGGGGCCTGGCCCGCCACAAGGAGTCGCTAGAGCGCGATGAGCCAAGTAAAGCCCCCCCCCCCCGGCCAAACCCTCCCCTAACCCGGACGACACTGGGCCAATTGTGCGCCGCCCTATAGGACTCCCGGTCACGGCCGGTTGTGACACTGCCTGGGATCGAACCCGGGTGAGAGGTTTTCTGATGTCAACGTTGTGAACAGAGTGCCCCATGGTGGCAGTGGGGTTATGGTATGGGCAGGCATAAGCTATGGACAACGAACACCATTGCATTTTATCAATGGCAATTTGAATGCACAGAGATACCGTGATGAGATCCTGAGGCTCATTGTGAGGCCCATTTTGTTTTAGATATCTGTGACCAACAGATGCATATCTGTATTCCCAGTCATGTGAAATCCATAGATTAGGGCCTAATTAATTTATTTCAATTGACTGATTTCCTCATATGAACTGTAACTCAGTAAAATCTTTGAAATTGTTTCATGTTGCGTTTATATTTTTTGTTCAGTATAGTTAATTCGGTTACTGGTTTAAACTGTAACAGCACCTTCAGTTTGGGATGAACGGATGAACAGTTTGGGATGAACGGAGTACATTTTTTTTTTTTAAAGAATACACAATAGAAAACACAACAAATTTAAATCCAATTTAGAACCAAGATCAGAAAAGTAATTAATGAAGGATAGGGGGATTAAATGCTGTCAGAGAATATCAAGATTATGACCAATATCAAGAGAATATCAAGATTATGACCAATATCGAAATAACTAGGTCTAAGGGTGAATTTAGGAAATTCATCCAAAATGGTAAGTTATCCTCTTCTGTACCTTCTACAATAGTAAAATGAAACAATGTATAAAAATATATCGCTTTACTTAAAGTAAGTAACACATGTACTTATGAATGAACCCACGTCAAGATTATATTTACAGATTGGACAAATTCATACTTTGGGATGATTTTCTGTCCACAAAACAACACTGAACAAAATCAATCCTTACTTCACATCAATAGTGAGAGTGGGAGATACAGCATCTTGTAACTTTATGTGGACTTCAAGTAAAGGCTGGGGAAATGCATTTTAATGCGATGCAATCGCCAGATGCAGTATTCCAAACTCTGTTTGGAAGTGCCCGTAGACCCCCAAATGCATTTTGTGGTTATATTGCAAGAGCTGTTTTGCAGCCAGAAAATGTTACCTTTTTGTTTTCGTCACAGAGTTACTTACCGGAGACAAAGTGAACAGAATTCAGTTCTCTTGGAACACTGGACTGACTGACACATGGACATTTGGCATGATGACCTCATTGTAGTGACCTCACTGAAAGTGACTGGCCTCTCAGTCAGTAGTCGTTTGTAAAAAAGGTTGGAGAAGAAGCAGAATGTTATTGTCTGTCTTGTATCCATGTTTGTATGTATGACGAGGAGGGTCCGTCCATCTGCAGAGTGTGTGTGTGTGTGTGTGAGAGAGTGAGAGAGAGTGTGTGGTGTGTGTGTGTGTGTGTGTGAGAGAGAGAGAGTGTGTGTGTGTGTGTGAGAGAGTATGTGTGTGTGTGAGTGTGTGTGAGAGAGTATGTGTGTGTGTGTGTGTGTGTGTGAGAGAGAGAGAGTGTGTGTGTGAGAGAGAGTGTGTGTGTGTGTGTCTCTCTCTCTCTCTCTCAGCACACACACACGGTGGTCTTGCCGTGTTGTTGCTGGAGTAGCGCTGGGGACACGTTGGTGGGGGGCGGAGTCGGAGACTGTTTCTGGTCCTTTCCTCCACTGTCTTTTGCCCCCGCCGGCGTTCTCTCGCCATTCTTCCTCCGGGTCCTCTTGGCGGACGGGACGGGGTTGGGCGACGTCTCATCCAGCGTCCGTTTGGCGCCGGGCGTCCTGGCGGTGACATCACTAAGCTCCTCCCCCGGTGCGGGGTTGTCGGTCGTCGAGGGAAACCCGGTGCGGGAGTCGTCGTCCGAGTCGGAGAGAGGCGGGCCGAAAGGATCTGATAGGGCCAGGGCGTACAGGCTGCTCCCTGATAGGCCGTTTCGTCTCTCCAGGGTCGGGAGGAGCTCACACACAGCAGACGGCATGTCCATGTCTGGAACCTAGAGAGAGACAGAGAGAGAGAGGCATTTAATACAGTAGTCATGTAGTAATAAAGTAGTCATTATGATTTAGCCTTTGTCCCAAATGGCACCCTATTTTCCCCCATAGGGCTCTGGTCAAAAGCAGTGCACTATATAGGGAATAGAAACCATTTGGGACACAGTCTTACGAGTCCCTCTGCTCTGTACCTTGATGAGTGGCGTGTTGGAGCGGGAGCCCGATGTGGGGCCACAGTGCTGTCCCTCGGCCAGGTTGAGCAGCACCTCCTCATGGTGGAGCGGCTCCTGGGGGACACCGGGCTCCTGCAGGGCGATCACGATGGCCGACGTGTTGTCCGCACGCAGCATCCTCTGGCGCCACCTCAGGAGGGCATGGCTCACCAGCTGGCGAGCGCTGGACACCCCGCATGGCGCCTAGGAGGGTGGGGGGGAGGGGTGATATTTACAGTCGTTAACTAATCAGACAAGGCTGAACACAAGCCTCGGTGGCCCAGTTTGAAAATCCCTGGGCCATGTTCAGTAGGGGAAAAAAACGTTTCAAAACAGAGTGAATCACTGATTTCTTTAGTTTTCCGTTGCAAAACATTTTTCCTACGGTTTGCCCTACTGAACAGGACGTTGCACCACAACTCACCATGGCCTCATCGTTGTCCTGGCACATGGAGACGGCGTCCTGGGGGGGCACCATGTTCCACAGCCCGTCACTGCCCAGGATGATGTAACGGTGTTTATTGGGGTCAAGGGTCAGCACACAGGTGTCTGGCTCCGGGGACACCACAAACTCTCCGCTGTAGAAGTCATAACTCCACAGATCCCCTATAGGGACAGAAGATAATTCAATAAAGGTTATTCACCATTTCAATGAAATGACGTTGAACCAACGTTGAATTGACGTCTGTGCACATTGGGGTATTTATTTAGTTTGCTAGCAAGTCTCTCACACTATGCAACGTCTGCATGGCACATCAAATTCCCATGATTTGTGAATCTGTTCGGACCGAACAGCTAGCACGACAGCTCGAAGACTTTGAAAAAAAAGTAGATTTTAGCTAATAGGGAGAAGTACTTAACAAAATAACTGCATTATGACATTCACTAATCATAAACTACACTGCTCAAAAAAATAAAGGGAACACTAAAATAACACATCCTAGATCTGAATGAATGAAATAATCTTATTAAATACTTTTTTCTTTACATAGTTGAATGTGCTGACAACAAAATCACACAAAAATGGAAATCAAATGTATCAACCCATGGAGGTCTGGATTTGGAGTCATCCTCAAAATTTAAGTGGAAAACCACACTACAGGCTGATCCAACTTTGATGTAATGTCCTTAAAACAAGTCAAAATGAGGCTCGGTAGTGTGTGTGGCCTCCACGTGCCTGTATGACCTCCCTACAACAATTCTGCAGGGCTCTGGCAGTGCTCCTCCTGCTCCTCCTTGCACAAAGGCGGAGGTAGCAGTCCTGCTGCTGGGTTGTTGCCCTCCTACGGCCTCCTCCACGTCTCCTGATGTACTGGCCTGTCTCCTGGTAGCGCCTCCATGCTCTGGACACTACGCTGACAGACACAGCAAACCTTCTTGCCACAGCTCGCATTGATGTGCCATCCTGGATGAGCTGCACTATCTGAGCCACTTGTGTGGGTTGTAGACTCCGTCTCATGCTACCACTAGAGTGAAAGCACCGCCAGCATTCAAAAGTGACCAAAACATCAGCCAGGAAGCATAGGAACTGAGAAGTGGTCTGTGGTCACCACCTGCATGTGGAATTTATTGTCAATTAGTGTTGCTTCCTAAGTGGACAGTTTGATTTCACAGAAGTGTGATTGACTTGGAGTTACATTGTGTTTGTTTAAGTGTTCCCTTTATTTTTTTGAGCAGTGTATTTACATCTCATAGAAATACATTAGAGGAACTTACTCAATCTTTGAGACAACCACAACAACATACCTAGAGCTCTGGCCACAGCCAGGAAAGGGATCTGGTCTATGACAGTGCTCCTCCGGACGGGCCCGTTGTGAGTCAGCCTGGGTCTCTTCCAAACCACCCGGTTCACCCCAGACTTCTTTATCACACTGGAGATAGGAGGGACAGACAGACAGACACAGGAGAGTTATCACTCTGGAGATAGGAGGGACAGACAGACAGACAGGAGAGTTATCACTCTGGAGATAGGAGGGACAGACAGACAGACAGGAGAGTTATCACTCTGGAGATAGGAGGGACAGACAGACAGGAGAGTTATCACTCTGGAGATAGGAGGGACAGACAGACAGGAGAGTTATCACTCTGGAGATAGGAGGGACAGACAGACAGACAGACAGACAGGAGAGTTATCACACTCGAGATAGAGGAAGCGAAGGGGTATCACTCGAGTGAGGACAGACACAGGAGAGTTATCACTCTGGAGATAGGAGGGACAGACAGACAGGAGAGTTATCACTCTGGAGATAGGAGGGACAGACAGACAGGAGAGTTATCACTCTGGAGATAGGAGGGACAGACAGACAGACGGAGAGTTATCACTCTGGAGATAGGAGGGACAGACAGACAGGAGAGTTATCACTCTGGAGATAGGAGGGACAGACAGACAGGAGAGTTATCACTCTGGAGATAGGAGGGACAGACAGACAGACAGGAGAGTTATCACTCTGGAGATAGGAGGGACAGACAGACAGAGACAGGAGAGTTATCACACTGGAGATAGGAGGGACAGACAGACAGGAGAGTTATCACTCTGGAGATAGGAGGGACAGACAGACAGACAGACAGGAGAGTTATCACTCTGGAGATAGGAGGGACAGACCAGACAGGATAGTTAATCACTCTGGAGATAGGAGGACAGACAGACAGACAGGAGAGTTATCACCTGGAGGATAGGAGGGAGACAGACAGACAGAGAGTTATCACTCTGGACATAGGAGGGACAGACGACAGACAGCGACAGGAGAGTTATCACTCTGGAGATAGGAGGGACAGGAGGACAGGAGAGTTATCACTCTGGAGATAGGAGGACAGACAGACAGACAGACAGGAGAGTTATCACACTGGAGATAGGAGGGACAGACAGACAGGAGAGTTATCACTCTGGAGATAGGAGGGACAGACAGACAGAAGACAGGACGACCGGAGAAGGAGGACAACAGACAGGAGAGTTATCACTCTGGAGATAGGAGGGACAGACAGACAGGAGAGTTATCACAGGCATTTAGTAAGGTAGTAATGGAGTAGTAGTTATGATTCAGCCGGTCAGTGTCACAAAAAGCCTCGATTATCTTCATAGTGGCAGGCTCTGTATAAGGAATGGGGTGTTATTTGGGGGGACACACTTACAAATGTTCAATAAACCCATTAACACATGCCTTATAAATGCTCCCTTAATGGCTTATTCACAGAAGTAGTATAAAGTGTTCCAAAAATAACCGACCTTTATTTCAACTGTCTGGTTGATACAGTAACCCTGTTATGGTATGTGAGCAGCACCGTTTATTGACAGTAAACTGCTGCGATGCCAATGACTAATCTGGCAAGAGTCTTAAAGTCACTGGAAATCACTCCAAGCTCACTCACTCCCTCTGTGGGCGTCACTGGCTATGTCCCCAAATTGCACCCCATTCTTTGTAGTGTACTACTTTTGACCAGGACCATTCGGGACGCAAGCCTATGTGTTCCTTACCTGAAGGAGATGGTTCTAGAGTAGTGTGTTGTTTACCCAGTGCCTGTCCGTCCCTCTAGTCTAGTTCCCCAGTGCCTGTCCGTCCCTCTAGTCTAGTTCCCCAGTGCCTGTCCGTCCCTCTAGTCTAGTTACCCAGTGCCTGTCCGTCCCTCTCGTCTAGTTCCCCAGTGCCTGTCCGTCCCTCTCGTCTAGTTCCCCAGTGCCTGTCCGTCCCTCTAGTCTAGTTCCCCAGTGCCTGTCCGTCCCTCTAGTCTAGTTCCCCAGTGCCTGTCCGTCCCTCTAGTCTAGTTCCCCAGTGCCTGTCCGTCCCTCTAGTCTAGTTCCCCAGTGCCTGTCCGTCCCTCTAGTCTAGTTCCCCAGTGCCTGTCCGTCCCCTCTCGTCTAGTTCCCAGTGCCTGTCGTCCCTCTAGTCTAGTTCCCCAGTGCCTGTCCGTCCCTTCTAGTCCAGGGTTCCCCAGTGCCTGTCCGTCCCTCTCGTCTAGTTAACCCAGTGCCTGTCCGTCCTCTAGTCTAGTTCCCAGTGCCTGTCCGTCCCTCTAGTCTAGTTCCCCATTGCCTGTCCGTTCCCCTCTCGTCTAGTTCCCCAGTGCCTGTCCGTCCCTCTAGTCTAGTTCCTCCCAGTGGCTGTCCGTCCCTCTCGTCTAGTTCCCCAGTGCCTGTCCGTTCCCTCTAGTCTAGTTCCCCAGTGACTGTCGTCCACTCTAGTCTAGTTCCCAGTGCGGTCCGTCCCTTAGTCTAGTGCCCCAGGCTGTCCGGTCACTATAGTCTAGTTCCCCGTGCCTGGCCGTCCCTCTAGTCTAGTTACCCAGTCAGTCAGAGAGTTGTTCTGTTGTTTTACACCAAACAGGCATAGATGCTACAATGCTTTATCTGATTGTGAGCTTGCAGTAGAGTAGAGTAGACAATGTGGTTTATGCAAGAGAGAGAGAGAGAGAGAGAGAGAGAGAGGGAGGGAGACATGGTCTTTGGCTCGAACCCATTCCCCTGTCATAGGGGCTGTTGTTTTGGATGCACAGTCACATGAGGGTACGGTTGTGTTGTGGTTGTGTTGCAGCTGGGGGCCTTAGCACAGTATTATGTGTTGGTTAGGATAGTCCGCCAGACAAACAAAACATTACATTGTTGAGTTAGTTAGTTCTCGAGTTGGCTGGCTGGACAACTAACCTATTAGTGCAGTATGTAGTAGTTAGCCTTACCTGCCCCCCAGCCCTTCGATGCGCTCTCTCTCCTTAGGCAGCTCAGGCTTGTGGTCCTGTGTAACCTCCACGGCCCTGATGAACTGGTCAGTGGGGTCGTCCTGGACCCCTAGCACTATGGCAGAGTCTCCTACGTGGGCCACGTACATGCGGTCCCCCCGGATGACCACTACACTGGCCGTGGTGCCTGAGGTGCTGGGCAGCCCCGTGAAAGTCTTGGGCCATTCGGCTGCAGAGGGAGGGAGAGAGAGGGAGGGAGAGAGAGGGAGAGGGGAGGAGAGAGGGAGGGAGAGGGAGGGAGAGAGAGAGAGGGAGGGAGAGAGAGTGAGGGAGGGAGAGAGAGAGAGGGAGAGAGAGGGAGGGAGAGAGAGGGAGGAAAAGAGAGAGAGGGAGAGAGAGAGAGGGAAGGAGGGAGAGAGAGGGAGGAAAAGAGAGAGAGGGAGAGAGAGAGAGTGTTGGAACCTGCCCAGCCTTAGAAGAAGCCTTCGGAGTCAGACTAACCTACTTCCCTGAGGTCTCTGCCTGCAATAATATGGCCCCTGAACACAACAACAGTTAGGTAGGAACTAAACTTTTAAAGGTCCTGAACAGTCATTCTGAAAAGTACTTTTTTGTCTAACTACCAGGAAGTTTGAAAAGACAGGCTGAGAGGGCAGGGGGCTTCTATTCATGAGCTCGCCTTGACTGGCGGCTCTTTGAAACGCCTTTGTCAAGCAACTTGGGTGCAGTGAGCAGTGTTGCAGTAAATGTATCTCAAGCAAATTTAGTGATACACGAAGCAACTCAAACATTGGAATTAATGATATGTTTTTCATTTACATCTCCCGTTTGTTTCTTGTGATATGGTTCACAGCAGCACTGACGGATATGTTGACTTGACAACTGCGTCAGAGTTTTGAACGACCCATCCCCCCCTTTTGTTCCATGCTGGCTGAAGACCTAGCTAGCCAGTAACTAGCTAACACCAGACACAGATGAAAGGGGAAACATATAAGTATCTTTGCCATAGATGAATAGGGTAAACTTTTAATTATATTTGCTGACACCCTACAGTCAAATGTTGGCACCAGTAAAGTAGCTATCTAGCTACATAAACCACGCCCCTCTGCAAACCTGCCTTCTCCGATGTTGATTACAAGGCGGTACTTATTTAAATTAGGTAAGAGAATATCTAGTTACCATTGGTGTATTCAAATGAAAATGAAGGTGATGTCACCTTGTCTGCTTAATAATGAATCCAAGTGTTTGACATGGGGGAGGGGACCAGTAACTTATGATCAAACTTGATCAATGTAGAAGCAACAGTCATTTTTCATACGTTGATCTGGTTTCCTTCAAATATCATCACATTTCATGAAAAACATGATTGACTGTTCATGACCTTTAAACTAAAAAGACAACTTTGTCTGCCATCTTCACAGACAGACCGGCAGAACAGCAGGCCAGTGAGATCAGAGGAACACACAATACAGGGTCAGGATGAGAGCCAGATGCTTCTCCAGATTACAAACAAGTAAGTAGTGAATTATGGCTGCCCAACCCTGTTCCTGGAGAGCTACCGTCCTGTAGGTTTTAACTCCAACCCTGTTCCTGGAGAGCTACCGTCCTGTAGGTTTTCACTCCAACCCTGTTCCTGGAGAGCCACCGTCCCGTAGGTTTTAACTCCAACCCTGTTCCTGGAGAGCCCCCGTCCTGTAGGTTTTCACTCCAACCCTGTTCCTGGAGAGCCACCGTCCTGTAGGTTTTAACTCCAACCCTGTTCCTGGAGAGCTACCGTCCTGTAGGTTTAACTCCAACCCTGTTCCTGGAGAGCCACCGTCCTGTAGGTTTTAACTCCAACCCTGTTCCTGGAGAACTACTGTCTCTATTCGCTGCAACCCCTGGTTCTAATGATTAGCTGGTTGATAAGCTGAATCAGGTTAGTTACAACTGGGGTTGAAGCGAAAACCTACAGGAGGGTAGCTCTCCGGGAACAGGATTGGGCAGCCCTGATATAGAGTATAGGGTACCATTTGGGACACATCCATAGACATAACAAATAGTTGCTGCACATTTTTGTTCCAGGTCAGCACTCAGCACTAACAAACACATGACTCAACTCATCAAAGGGCTTGATTTAGTTGATAAATTGAATCAGGTGTGTTAATACTGGGCTGGAACAAAAAATGTGCACATCCATCCTTGGGTTTTCCCAGGATGCTCCTTGTGTGTAGAGTACACTGTACTAGTGACTTGACAGGGCAGTCGAAGGAACCAGAGCGAATCGCTGATGACCGCCCTAAATACAACTGCCCTCACAGCTGATAGGCCAAGAGACTTGTTCATCAAATAATAAAAGAGGGGGGGGAACATTCATCATACCTAAGTGGGGGTGGGCGCATTGGTCTTTCCAAATCCAATAGATATGATGCATCATGCAGACTCTCCTTTACAACCAACAATATCAGATCTCACATGCTGCCTGGCCTGCCTAGTCCAGCAATAAACCGGATTTGTTATGCCATCGAGGTCAAAACAACCGTCGCCAAAACTCTTTCCAAACAAGCAGCTGCACCATTGTCATGTGTATCGAAGGCAAACAGAGGACGGCACCATGGGAAAATCGCATTCACGGTAGTGACGTGCAGTTCGTGAACGATTAGTTATTTTTTAACTACTCTTTTTACTGACTCGAGAGTCATGACTCGTTTTTTTTGAGTGACTCGTTCATTTTAGTTGTTCGTTTGACCTGCTAGTGCTGGGTGTTTTCACACTCCGTCCCTTTCAGACAATTAAAAACTAAATGTGTGCAGTATGAACACTCCAAAGGAACTCAGACCCCTCAAAAAGAGCCCTCCGAAGCGAACCGAACTGAGACCAGGTCTGAGTCCGGTTCCCTTTTTAGGGCAATGTGAACACAAAGCTCCCCGGGTTCGCTCGTCATTATTCCCGCACCACACACTTGACTACTGCAACACCGTTTCCCCTGCCATAACTAGTGATGGGAAACCGAGGCTTTATGAACTTCAGCGCTTTCACCAAATTGTGCTGAAAAACGGTTCATTACTTCAGTATCTGTTGACAGTGACATCTGCTGGTCAGCAATAAATAGCAGCGTGTGACTACCTCATGAAGCTTGTTGAGAGAATGCCAAGAGTGTGCAAAGCTGTCATCAATGCAAAGGGTGGCTATTTGAAGAATCTCAAATATAACATATATTTTGATTTGTTTAACACTTTTTTGGTTACTACATGATTCCATATGTGTTATTTCATAGTTTTGATGTCTTCACTATTATTCTACAATGTAGAAAATAGTAAAAATAAAGAAAAACCCTTGAATGAGTAGGTGGGTCCAAACTTTAGACTGGTAGTGTATGTACCGGTTGTTTTGCTCTAGGATGGGCCTCACAAGACTTGTTTGAAGGTCCACCTGTACCAGTTGAAAAAAGGAATGGAAGTATATATGGAGACTGTTTAGTGACAAAAATAAGGGGTTAAATACATGATATATATATATATATATATATATATATATATATATATATATATATATTTCCTGATCTTTTTTATATCTCTCTCAAATATGATACACTTCAGAATCCATGTAGTGAATCTGTTTTAATGTGTTTGTATGGCCAAACTTCCAAAAAAATGTATGACTGTTGTTTTCCATGTAGTGAATCTGTTATTTAATGCGTTTGTATGGCCTAATAGCAGTTAGGCCAAATAAAAATGTTCATCAAAAATGTTTTTTTATATACTTCAAGGGGTCTTAAAATCCTAAGTTAAATAGCAAAATGATCCTTGGTATGCCCTTCTTAAAACAATTCCATATAGCTAATAACCAGGTGGCGAATCGCATCTCTGCATGTCTGGCAGACATATCAGTGTGGATGACGGATCACCACCTCAAGCTGAACCTCGGCAAGACGGAGCTGCTCTTCCTCCCGGGGAAGGACTGCCCGCTCCATGATCTCGCCATCACGGTTGACAACTCCGTTGTGTCCTCCTCCCATAGTGCAAAGAACCTTGGCGTGACCCTGGACAACACTGTCGTTCTCCGCTAACATCAAAGCGGTGACCCGATCCTGTAGGTTCATGCTCTACAACATTCGCAGTACGACCCTACCTTACACAGGAAGCGGCACAGGTCCTAATCCAGGCACTTGTCATCTCCCGTCTGGATTACTGCAACTCGCTGTTGGCTGGGCTTCCTGCCTGTGCCATTAAACCCCTACAATTTATCCAGAACGCTGCAGCCCGCCTGAGTGGCGCAGTGGTCTAAGGCACTGCATCGCAGTGCTAACTGTGCCACTAGAGATCCTGGTTCCAATCCAGGCTCTGCTGTAGCCGGCCGCAACCGGGAGACCAATGGGGCGGCGCACAATTGGCCCAGCGTCGTCCAGGGTAGGGGAGGGAATGGCCGGCAGGGATGTAGCTCAGTTGATAGAGCATGGCGTTTGCAACGCCAGGGTTGTGGGTTCGATTCCTCTAACTGTAAGTCGCTCTGGATAAGAGCGTCTGCTAAATGACTAAAATGTAAATGTGTTCAACCTTCCCAAGTTCTCTCACGTCACCCCGCTCCTCTGCACACTCCACTGGCTTCCAGTTGAAGCCCGCATCTGCTACAAGACCACGGTGTTTGCCTACGAGGGGAACGGCACCTCCGTACCTTCAGGCTCTGATCAGTCCCTACACCCAAACGAGGGCATTGCGTTCATCCACCTCTGGCCTGCTGGCCCCCCTACCTCTGCGGAAGCACAGGTCCCGCTCAGCCCAGTCAAAACTGTTCGCTGCTCTGGCACCCCAATGGTGGAACAAGCTCCCCAATGGTGGAACAAGCTCCCCCACGACGCCAGGACAGCGGAGTCACTCACCACCTTCCGGAGACACTTGAAACCCCACCTCTTTAAGGAATACCTGGGATAGGATAAAGTAATCCTTCTACCCCCCCCCCCCCCCCCCCCAAAAAAAAATAAAATAGAAAATAAAGATATATATATATTGTAAAGTGGTTGTCCCACTGGCTATCATAAGGTGAATGCACCAATTTGTAAGTCGCTCTGGATAAGAGCGTCTGCTAAATGACGAAAATGTAAATGTAGTCAACCAGAGTTGACTTTATTTACTTTATTAAAAGAGGACTGAGATCGGCTATTTTACAGTAGGATTAAACACATTCCTCAGGCTCGGCGGCTCCAAACACCTGCTCCGACTACCAACTGTCTTTGTAGACACAAAACATGCCTCTGCTCAACAAACTTGTTTTGGGGGGGCTGCAGTTCCCGAACGGCATTGTACTCATCACCCTCACTGCAGCTGTGCTCACCGCAGGCAGAACAATACATTCCGCCAATTGTCAACAAGAGTCGTTCACAATCTAGTCCGGTTGCGGACACAACTAGACCTCGTTTCAAATGTATCAAGAAATAATCTTATTTGTATGCCTAGCAATCAACAAATGTACATTGTTTAAAGCACACGTTTGCAAGTCTGTCCCAAATAACAGCTCCAATAATCAAGCCCCCTATGGTGAAGAATCATGACTCGTTGGAGTTTTCAGTTCATCGTTCGCCGGTAGGGGGGTCCTACGTGCTCTGGGCATTACTGACTCAAATTAACGAAATGAGTCGAAAGATTCGTTCTTTTGACTGAACGACTCAGTAAATAGAGCCGAACTTCCCGTCACTAATTCACCGAGCCCGCTTGTGTGTGACCTGATAGGTTGGGGGTTTAGAGAGGAATCATGGGATGTCTCTTTCTTTGCTCTACTACAGACAGGTGGCAAGCGATGGTAGGTTTATTTTGCTAGCCAAGCCAGAGAACCCAAACCACACATTCAGCCACATCGAGCCTGTGGTGGCCATTTAATTCTTAGCGTTTGCTCGTTTAGAGGCTTGCTAGCTAAAATGTACGAGATGCGAAAACACAAATCCCAATATACAAAACTAGCTATCTAGACACATGGATGATTATTTAACTCACGTAGTTTTTTCCACATTGCATGGTGGCAGGCAACGAAACCTTTCCGAATAGCTGCACACACTTCCTCGTCATCCTTGGACCAAAAGCCCCGCTGTTTCTTGATGAATTCCCACAAATAGTCCCGTGCGAATTGCGCTGCCTCGCGGCCTCCGTGGCCATCAAACACCGCGAAGAAAGCCACTGAGCGCTGGGGGTGGTTATCGCTCTTGATCGCAGCCGGTAAACTCTCCACTTTCGATACTGCCAGTGCCGCGGCTGCACAACTTTGGTCCCCATTTTGTGTCCATGCAACTTTAGTAGAGGCAGATCGAGGATCGTTCAGTGCGTTGTGTGCAGTCCGATCTTGCTGCTCGTTTTCAGGCTTTTCCGGCACAGTGTGGACCGTCGAGCTATTCTCTTTGGTCTCGTCTTGTTCGTCCGAGTTCAGCTCGTCTTCCCCCGGCTCGGGCTCCATTACAACCTCGGTAACATCCTCCATGTATTTCCTGCCTCCCTGGTCGGAGAAAACACTCACTCGCATCAACAATGCGTTTTCCATGGCTGTAGAGACGTCTTGCTTCAGATGCTGGGCGTTAGTAGTACCTAAAAATGGCTTCAAAAGTATTTTAAATTAAGTTTATGGCAGCTTAATGATCAATCACCCGCTTTCGGTCTTTGTTTATTTTCAAGCCTTTTAGGCACGCTCAGGAACGCATTGACGTCAGACCTATATCATCTGGGGGTAATGTCCGGAAAAAATAATGCGCCACCTACTGGATGTGTAAATCAAATTAAAATCTATGTGTCACATGCTTCATAAACAACAGCTGTAAACAGTGGTTCCGATCGCTTACTTACGGCCCTAATCAACAATGCAGAGAAAAATAATACCACGAGGAAAATATATAGGCCTACACAGTAACAATACCTTGCAGCATGAATTGACATGTTGTCCACCCAACCAAAGGATCAAATCAAATGTTATTTGTCACATACAAGTGTTTAGCAGATGTTATAGAGGTTGTAGCGAAATGCTTGTGCTTCTAGCTCCGACAATGCAGTAATATCTAACAATTTCACAACATATACATATACCCAATACACACAAAACTAGTAAGGAATGGGATTTAAGAATACAGTTGAAGTCGGAAGTTTACATATACTTAGGTTAGAGTCATTAAAACTCGTTTTTCAACCACTCCACAAATTTCTTCTTAACAAACTATTGTTTTGGCAAGTCGGTTAGGACATCTACTTTGTGCATGACAAGTAATTTGTGGGCAGAACTGAAGGCCTACAAACCTGACTCAGTTACAACAGCTCTGTCAGGAGGAATGGGCCAAAATTCACCCAACTTATTGTGGGAAGCTTGTGGAAGGCTACCCAAAACATTTGACCCAAGTTAAAGAATTTAAAGGCAATGCTACCAAAAACGAATTGAGTGTATGTAAACTTCTGACCCACTGGGAATGTGATGAAATAAAAAAAAGCTTAAATAAATAATTCTCTCTACTATTATTCTGACATTTCACATTCTTAAAATAAAGTGGTGACCCTAACTGACCTAAGACAGGGAATTTTTACTAGGATTAAATGTCAGGAATTGTGAAAAACTGAGTTTTAATGTATTTGGCTTCCGACTTCAACTGTATATGGACAAGCAACGGCAGTGCGGCATGGACTAAGATACAGTAAAATATTATAGAATAGAATGCAGTATATACATATGAGATGAGTAGTGCAAGATATGTAAACATTATTAAAGTGACTAGTGTTCCATTTCTTAAAGTGGCCAGTGATTTCAATAGGCAGCAGCAGCCTCTAATGTGCTAGTGATGGCTATTTAACAGTCTGATGGCCTTGAGATAGAAGCTGTTTTTCATTCTCTCAGTCCCAGCTTTGATGCACCTGTACTGACCTCGCCTTCTGGATGATAGCGGGGTGAACAGGCAGTGGCTCGGGTGGTTGATGTCCTTGATAATCTTATTGGCCTTCCTGTTACATCGGTGCTGTATATGTCTTGGAGGGCGGGTAGTTTGCCCCCGGTAATGCGTTCAGCAGACCGCACCACCCTCTGGAGAGCCCTGTGGTTGTGGGCGGCGCAGTTGCCATACCAGGCGGTGATACAGCCCGACAGGATGCTCTCAATTGTGCATCTGTTCAGGGTCCTGTTGGTTCCAGACTTGGCGCATCGGTACAGCTTGCCGTGCGTTAGCAGAGAGAACAGTCTATGACTTGGATGGCTGGGGTCTTTGACCATTTTTAGGGCCTTCCTCTGACACCGCCTGGTAGAGAGGTCCTGGATGGCAGGGAGCTCGGCCCTGTCGTAGCCCGCCGCGACCGGGAGACCCATGGGGCGGCGCACAATTGGCCCAGCGTCGTCCAGGGTAGGGGAGGGAATGGCCGGCAGGGATGTAGCTCAGTTGGTAGAGCATGGCGTTTGCAATGCCAGGATTGTGGGTTCGATTCCCACGGGGGGCCAGTATGAAAAAATAATAATAATGTATGCACTCACTAAGAGCGTCTGCTAAATGACTAAAATGTAATGTAAATGTGAGGGTTTTAGGTGCTAAGCCGAATTTCTTCAGCCTCCTGAGGTTGAAGAGGCTCTATTGCGCCTTCTTCACCACACTGTCTGCGTGGGTGGACCATTTCAGTTTGTCTGTGATGTGTACGCCAAGGAACTTGAAGCTTTCCACCTTCTCCACTGCGGTCCCGTCGATGTGGATAGAGGGGTGCACCCTCTGCTGTTTCCTGAAGTCCACAATCATCTCCTTTGTTTTGTTGATGTTGAGTGAGAGGTTATATTCCTGGCACCACACTCCCAGAGCCCTTACCTCTTCCCTGTAGGTGGTCTCGTCATTGTTGGTAATGAAGCCTACTACTGTTGTGTCGTCTGCAAACTTGATGATTGAGTTGGAGGCGTGCTTGGCCACGCAGTCATGGGTGAACAGGGAGTACAGGAGGGGGCTGAGCACGCACCCTTGTGGGGCCCCAGTGTTGAGGATCAGCGAAGTGGAGATGTTGTTTCCTACCTTCACCACCTGGGGGCGGCCCGTCAGGAAGTCCAGGACCCAGTTGCACAGGGCAGGGTTCAGACCCAGGGCCTCGAGCTTAATGATGAGCTTGGAGGGTACTATGGTGTTGAATGCTGAGCTATAGTCAATGAACAGCATTCTTAAATAGGTATTCCTCTTGTCCAGATGGGATAGGGCAGTGTGCAGTGTGATGGCGATTGCATCGTCTGTGGATCTATTGGGGCGGTAAGCAAATTGAAGTGGGTCTAGGGTGACAGGTAAGGTAGAGGTGATATGATCCTTGACTAGTCTCTCAAAGCACTTCATGATGACAGAGGTGAGTACTACAGGGCAATAGTCATTTAGTTCAGTTACCTTGGGTACAGGAACAATGGTGGCCATCTTGAAGCATGTGGGAACAGCAGACTGGGAAAGGGAGAGAATCAATCTATTACTGAAAGCATTAGCAACAGCTAGCTAGCACTGCAGTGCATGAAATGTAGTGAGTAGTTGACTCAAAGAGAAAGACAATAGTTTGAACAGTTTTGAACAAATTAATTTATATAGTATTTTTTTCACTTTCACTAAGCTAGTTTAGCCTACTAAAACACCCGGCTCAAACAGAGAGGACTGCTATGTTAGCTAGCTGGCTATTGCTATCCAACACTGGAAATCTTCCAATTCAAGGTAAGCTTTTGGTTTTATGAATTTATTGGCCATAGGGGCCCGCCAGGTGTAACTGCTAAACTGCTTGCTGCTGACTGCATACTACTGCATGATTGTAGCGGGTTTACTAACACGTTAGTTCTAGTAGCTATGTTGACTATGATATTAATATGGTGACAACGATGTAGGCTGTGTGTGGCAGTTAGCGGTTATGATATGAATGTTTGGCTTGAAAAGGTTTTTTCGCCTGGTCACAGACAGCTGATGTGTTGTGCACTGAAGTCCACAAGCGAAGGGAAAAGGTGAGAGGAGGAGAGCGCGTAGATTCGAGAAGTAATTATACAAAGATCAAAGGGATCATGCTGTTTGTATGCGGCTGCTATGAAAGTGAACTGTTTGCATGTGATCGGGTGTATTCATTCCGACGATTCTGTTGAAAAACGTTTCTTAAAAATGGAAGTAAACTGAATGAAAAGGGGATAAACAATGCCTGAATTTGTCTAATAGAAACTCTCGTTTGCAACTGTTGGACTAATGATTACACCCTATATCAGCTAGATGGAGACAAGAGTGTGCAAGGCGGTATTGAATGTTTCAGTGTCTGTCACCTTGATTACTCAAAAAATCTCTCGACCTGTGCTCCTACGTTGTAAACTTTCATTCATAGGCTAGGTTGTAGCAACCTCATGATGGGGTATAGGGAACATTTTGGTATCATGTAGTAGCCTAAACCAATTGACGTTACATTGAGCTGGGTGAATGGAATATGAATGACAGTCATCCAATAGGCTGGAATAGAAATAAGGCCATGCAAAAAAATTATAATCATCCTCCCTCATCTTAAATGGCACCAACCGCCATTGACATATAGGTAGGGGTAAAGTGACTAGGCAACAGGATAGATAATAAACAGTAGCGCATGTGATGAGTCAAGAGTTCCTGCAATTGGATCAATGCAGCAATAGGATCAATGCAGATACTCCGGGTAGCTATTCGCTTAAGTATTTAGCAGGCTTGGGGGAAAGGGGGATACCTAGTCAGTTGCACAACTGAATGCATTCAACCGAAATGTCTCTTACGCATTTAACTCAACCCCTCTGAATCAGAGAGGTGCGGGGGGCTTCCTTAATCGACATCCTCAGCGCCCAGGGAGCAGTTGTTGTTGTTGGGGGTTAACTGCCCTGCTCAAGGGCAGAACAGCAGATTTTTCCAACTTGCCTGCTCGGGGTTTCAAACGAGCGACCTTTAGGTTCCTGGCCCAACGCTCTTAACCGCTAGGCTACCTGCCGCCCCTAGAAGCTGTTCAGGGTCCTGTTGGTTCCAGACTTGGCGCATCGGTACAGCTTGCTGTGCGTTAGCAGAGAGAACAGTCTATGACATGGATGGCTGGGGTCTTTGACAATTTTTAGGGCCTTCCTCTGACACCGCCTGGTAGAGAGGTCCTGGATGGCAGGGAGCTCGGCCCTGGTGATGTACTGGGCACTACCCTCGAATGCCTTGTGGTCGGATGCCAAGCAGTTGCCATACCAGGCGGTGATGCAGCCAGTCAAGATACTCTCTATGGTGCAGCTGTAGAACTTTGAGGATCTGAGGGCCCATGCCAAATCTTTTCAGCCTCCTGAGGGGGAAGAGGCGTTGTCGTGCTTTCTTCACGACTGTGCTGATGTTGGAGTCGTGCGTGGCCACGCGGTCGTGGGTGAGCAGGGAGTCCAGGAGGGGACTAAGCACGCACCCCTGAGGGGCCCCTGTGTTGAGGGTCAGCGTGGTAGATGTGTTGCTGCCTACCCTTACCACCTGGTGGCGGCCCGTCAGTAAGTCCAGGATCCAGTATCAGAGGGAGGTGTTTAGTCCCAGGGTCCTGAGCTTAGTGATGAGCTTAGAGGGCACTATGGTGTTGAATGCTGAGCTGTAGTCAATGAACAACATTCTCACATAGGTGTTCCTCTTGTACAGGTGGGAGAGGGCAGTGTGGAGTGCAATAGAGATTGCGTCATCTGTGGATCTGTTGGGGCGCTATGTGAATTGGAGTGGGTCCAGGGTGTCTGAGATGATGGTGTTGATCTGAGCCATGACCAGCCTTTCAAAGCAATTCATGGCCACAGATGTGAGTTCTACAGGGCGATATTCATTTAGAAAGGTTATCTTAGTGTCCTTGCACAGGGACTATGGTGGTCTGCATGAGACATGTAGGTATTATATACTGGGTCAGGGAGAGGTTGAACATGTCAGTGAAGACACTGGCCAGCTGGTCAGCGCATGCTCTGTTCATCCGTCTGGAACTAATCTAATTATAAAAGAAGAGGATCCTGTCATTCGCCTGTTCATTTTAAAATCAGTCTATTCACACACACACACACACACACACACCATGTATTCATCACATTGTCCTTGTCTCTGTACAGATGGTGGTGATCTTCCAGAGTTTGGAGATGATTCCGCCGCGTACGGTCAGTGATCTCTCTCACGTCAGCACGGTGGGATCCACTGTAGTTAAGATGACTCTCTCCAGCTATATGAAACTTATAAAGACATCCCTACACTCAGAAAACCACAGGTACGTTGGAACAGGAAGCACGTTTAGTTTGAACAAAATCCAGATCGTTTGAGTGTGTGTGTGTGTGTGTGTGTCTCAATCTAACATAGTGTTGTTGTCTCCTCTGGGCCAGGTTTGTCCATCAGTGCCTGAGTTTCCTGTCAGCCATGGTGTCCCAGGGAGCAGACAGAGCCAGAGAAGTCTTCACTTCACTAAAGGCCTGTCTGCTCTGGCCAAGAGGAAGGATAAGATGGTGATAGACCTGGCCAATGTCTGTGTGCATCCCAAATAGCACCCTATTCCCTATATAGTGCACTACTTTCAACCAGGGTCCATAGGCAGAGGGAGAGACTCATCTCTCCAGACCCAGTCCCACTCTAACTCCTGAACAGGGGGAGGAAGGAGAGGTAGAGAGACGAGAGGAGGAGAAGTGCACCCCTCACCTCAGGACTATCTTCACACACTGGAAGTCTGTCTCCTCATCTCCCTGTCTCTCCCCTGCTCTCACTTGGGGCCAAAGCCAGGCCACTGGTACTTTTCAGCTGGCATTTACATAACAATGACTAACTGTGAACTTTAACACATTCTCACAAAGGAACTGTTTTGATGATGCAGAGTTGTTGATTCTGCTCTTCACAAGTCCTCACTGTCAGCTCTAGATATGGAAACACCATGTCCCTAGTATAACATAAGTGTGTATCTACTAGGATAACATAAGGGTGTATCCACTAGGATAACATAATGGTGTATCCACTAGGATAACATAATGGTGTATCCACTAGGATAACATAAGGGTGTATCCACTAGTATAACATAAGTGTGTATCCACTAGTGTGGTCCTCTGTAGCTCAATTGGAAGAGCATGGCGCTTGTAACGGCAGGGTAGTGGGTTCGATCCCCGGGACCACCCATACGTAAAAATGTACGCACACATGATTAAGTCGCTTTGGATAAAAGTGTCTGCTAAATGGCGTATTATTATTATTATTATTATTATTATTATAACATAATGGTGCATCCACTAGTATAACATAAGGGTGTGTCCACTAGTATAACATAAGGGTGTATCCACTAGTATAACATCAGGGTGTATCCACTAGTATAACATCAGGGTGTATCCACTAGTATAACATAAGGGTGTATCCACTAGTATAACATAAGGGTGTATCCACTAGTATAACATAAGGGTGTATCCACTAGTATAACATAAGGGTGTATCCACTAGTATAACATAAGGGTGTATCCACTAGTATAACATAAGGGTGTATCCACTAGTATAACATAAGGGTGTATCCACTAGTATAACATAAGGGTGTATCCACTAGTATAACATAAGGGTGTATCCACTAGTATAACATAAGGGTGTATAACATAAGGGTCTTTGCTGCACTCCACCAATCAGGATCTGCAGAGAAGAATGGGAGAAACTCCCCCAAATACAGGTGTGCCAAGCTTGTAGCGTCATACTCAAGAATACTCAAGGCTGTAATCTCTGCCAAAGGTGCTTCAAGAAAGTACTGAGTATAAGGTCTGAAAACGTATGTAAATGTAATATCTGTTTTTTTATTTGTAACACATTTGCAAAAATGTCTAAAAACCTGTTTTTGCTTTGTCATTAACAAAACGTAACAAAATGTGGTAAAAGTAAAGGGGTCTGAATACTTTCCGACTGCACTTTTTACATGCACGAAGAAGAGGAGTAGTTGACGGACTGCACCGAGTGGAGTTAGTTACTGTGTTTAAACTTCAGTAACATGTCGTAGCGTTAGAATGATGACTCAGGAGTGTCCTTTATTGCAATGTCAGTGAACCCTGCTCCTAATAACTCTGTGAACCTTATCACAGGTTCCAAAGTCTAAACGTGCTGTATTCCAACTTCATTTGGTTCTTTGCAGCATAGCTATTCATATCCACTGTAGATACTAATATATATACAAAACTATCATTATTATGGAGAAGCTCACCGATGACCTGGTCAAATACAAGGACTATGTTTTTGCGAAGGATTTGTTCATCGCTGAGTACATTGACTCCCTGCAGACCTTTGAGATCCGGGACAGTGACATCTTTCTGGTCACTTACCCTAAGTCAGGTGAGTGACAAATCTACTGGATGGATAAACAGCGTTTGAGATGGTCCAGACACTTATCATACTTGGGGGTACTTGACATGAAAAAGGTTGAGAGCCCTGCTCTGTTTAGGTCATCAGTGAGGAGAGAAACCTGCTCTGTTTAGGTCATCAGTGAGGAGAGAAACCTGCTCTGTTTAGGTCATCAGTGAGGAGAGAAACCTGCTCTGTTTAGGTCATCAGTGAGGAGAGAAACCTGTCACAGGTAGAGAGAATAAAAACAGCCTTTTAGAAAGTTAAAGGCACAATCCGGGATTGGAACATCCATCTTTGGAATTTTAAATGAGTGATATCCATTGATTCTTGAAAAATATAACTTCAATCCTCCCGAGTGGCGCAGCGGTCTAAGGCACTGCAGCGCTTGAGGCGTCACTACAGGGCTCGATCCCGGGCTGTGTCGCAGCCGGCCGCGATCGGGAGACCCATGAGGCGACGCACAATTGGCCCAGCGTCGTCCGGGTTAAGGGAGGGTTTGGCCGGCCGGGACGTCCTTGTCCCATCGCGCTCTAGCACCTCCTGTGGCGGGCTGGGCGCATGCACGGTTGTACGGTGTTGTCTCCAACACATTGGTGCGGCTGGCTTCCGGGTTAAGCAGTGTGTCAAGAAGCAGTGCGGGTTGGCAGGGTCGTGTTTCGGAGGACGCATGGCTCTCGACCTTCGCCTCTCCCGAGTCCATACGGACAAGACTGTAACTACCAATTGGGGAATATAACTTATACATTTCTCCTGAGACATGACATAGTTCAACTGTCTTAATGCTTGTTTTACTCCAGCCCCTTCAGCTCTGGCAGGGGGACTGCTTCGTTGTTTTTTCGAATCCCCTTTAACCATGTCGCTCCCAAGAGCTCTATGACTGACACCTTTCATGATGCTGACCTGTAGGAACGATCTGGGCACAGCAGATCATCACCTCTATCTGTGAGTCAGAGATGGGTGATGTCTATCCCAACAACTTAGAGATGATGCCATGGCTGGAGTATATGGAAAAACGCCCTGACTATTCCTTACGCCCCAACCCGCGGCTATTCACCTCCCACCTCACCCCCGTACTCATGCCCCCAGGCCTGAGGAACAAGAAGGCAAAGGTAGGCAGAGGAGGGGAAGATGGAGGCCCTACTGTATGGTTTGCATCCCAAATGTCACCCTTTTCTCTATACAGTGCACTATTTTTGACCAGAGCCCACAGGGCTGTAAATGTCTCTCTTGTTCTCAGATGATCTATGTGATGCGGAACCCAAAGGACAACGTGATTTCCTACTATCACTGGTGTATTAACTGGGCCTTGTTTGAGACCCCAAAGAGCTTCGAGGACTTTCTGGACCAGTGGTTAGCAGGGAATGGTAGAGTAAAGACATCATTCATATAACACCATGGTTGGGTCCCAAATGGCACCATATTCCTTCTCTACATAGTGCACTAATTTTCACCAGGGCCGATAGGGCTCTGGTCAAAAATAGTGACCTATATAGGGAATAGGGTGCCATTTGGGACACAAACAGCCTGTTCTAACCCTGACAGGCTACGTCCTAAATGTCACCCTATTCACTATATAGTATAGTGCACTACTTTTGACCAACCCATGAATACTGTAATGACCTTGGTGACACAGCCTGTTATGACCATGTTATTGCCCTACAGTTGGCGCTTCGTCCTGGTTTGACCACATCAGAGAGTGGCACAGTAAGAGTGACCAGTACAACATCCTGTTTCTGACCTATGAGGACATGATCATGGTAAGATATTACAGACTCATCTTACACCTATGACCTCTGATCTCTGCTCTGCTGGATAGCCAGCTAGAGACAACCAACCAGCCTGGCTTGCCTATCCCCAATCTTTTGGCCTAAATTTTCCAATTTTATTAACAAGGATGGACATGAAATGAAGAGGGAGACAGACAGAGGACATAGTGTGTAGAAGTGCTGTGGGGCCGGCATGTGATCCCACACAGGCAGGGGATTGCATGTGAGCCGAGGGCAGTGGACTTCACCACTTGACCAACCTCAGGCACAGGGTTCCATCTTTAATGGACATGTTCCTCCTTTCTCAGGATCTGAAGACAGCCGTGCTGAAGATCTGCCGCTTCCTTGAGCGGGACCTGACTGAAGCAGACATCAACAAGATAGTGGAAAAAGCCACGTTCAAAAACATGAAACACGACCGCAAGGCCAACTACGAGTTCATACCAGAGGACATTCTCAAAAAGGGGCAGTTCCTACGCAAAGGTCAGGGCCTGTATTCACACAGCGTCTCTATACCAGTGTTGATCTACTCTGAGATGCTTCACGAATGTGGGCCTGAGATTGGGAGAATTTTTTTTTAAATAAATATTCTTACTCTGAATAATGACGTGTTGGTTGTGCTGTGACAGGTAAAATCGGGGAGTGGAAGAACATGTTCACAGTGGCCCAGAGTGAGAGGTTTGACCAGGTCTATGAGGAGCGGATGAAGGACGTGACTCTGAAGTTCATGTGGGACATGGATCAACAATCAGAGTGATGGAAAGGTGGAGCCTGCAGCTCTGCCGCCACAAACTACCCAGTGGACACTAAAGCCATGGACATTCATGTCAATTATCTGTTGAATGTACCAAAACTTGATATCCATTACAGACAAAGGTCTCTTCTTCTTCTTCTTCTTCTTCGATGAGGGTTAACTGCGGTTGGCATCCAATTTGTTGCATTACTGCCACCTGCTAGATTGGAGTATAGCTCCCTAATCTTTTTCTTGAAAAATAAAAGTCAAAATAATTACTAATAATTAACCCCACCCTTCTCCACTATTTTAATATATTCACTCCTACCTCATGCCCTCAACCTGAAATGATGGGACATCACCACTTAACACTCCCTGTAACTATTCTGATGTCAAGTCTGGCACACCCAAGTCTCTGCAGCTGCCACCACAACCTGCGTTCCATCCCTGCAGTACAATTAATAACCATTGCTATGAACGCTAAAAATCCAATCTTACTGAAACATATATCACTTTCTTGCCTATCCCTCTGTACTGGTACATATCTCCTACTCTCACCACTCCCCACGACCCCTCTTCCTCTACTTTTCTTCACTACCTCCGCATATTAAAGGTCTCTTCCTGGTGCACGCTTGCATTTAAAAGGTAACTACACCCCAAAATCTAAATGTCTTCCATTTTTCCCAGACCTAAAAAATGCTCTCCTGATAGGGTTTAAACATTGTTGTGGACATAGAACATCCAATTGTGCTGTTTTGCTATTAAAAAGGTGTACTTTTGAGAGCGAAAACCTGCAAAAACAGGGACAAACGGTCAACGGGGAAATCTAAAAGGAGAAAAGGGAACTTGGGAAAAAACGGAATCAGGCAAACCATCGAAGGGATTTTTTAGTGCCCTAATGTACTATAATAATAATATGCCATTTAGCAGACGCTTTTATCCAAAGCGACTTACAGTCACGTGTGAATACATTTTTACTTATGGGTGGTCCCGGGGATCGAACCCACTACCCTGGTGTTACAAGCGCCATGCTCTACCAATTGAGCTACAGAGGACCACTACTACAGACATTGACAGTCTCCTAGACTGCTCCTAGAGGCCATATCCTATGTTGACTTATGACAAGTTCATGGAGTAGGGCCTTATAAAATAGGCGTTGCGGACAGAATCACAGAATCCAGACAAACCGAAATTCAACAATATTCCAAAATGTATTGAACTCAGTAGGAAATCAACTAAATCTATTCAACTTGTTAGAAAACGCATTCATTTGCCTAAGTGAATCATAAGACATGAACAAAATGTATCAGTGATTCGTATTTCCATGCAACTTAATGAACCGACTAAAAACAAAGGCTGAATGTACTGCCTATATTTTGAGGGAAACACTATTATTTCATTTGATCAGGACAGGGCAGGGCAGCACATACAAACTGCATTTAGTCCAATAAAAACACATGATATTATAAGGGTGATAAATAAAAGGCAGTTGCTCCATGACACAAGAGTACGCTCTAGTGGAACAAAAAGCTTACAGCACCTGGTATTCCCAGACGGTCTCCCATCCACGTACTAACCAGGCCCGACCCTTCTTAGAGTACGTGACACATTTACTTTATATAGTGTACCAAGAGTTGTTCCCTTGCTTACGGCCATACCAGCCTGAATACGCCCCTTTCGGTAATTGAGGAAATGGTTACAGGCACGTTGGTATTGGAGGAGGAGGAGAGGGAATTGTTTGCTGCGTTTTGAAATCAATCTTTTGTTTGGTGAATTATTTGGAATCAAATTTGTCTCTGATTTATTAGTAGAGTTGTTTCTCCCCTAGCAGCTTTTGCTGTTGGGGGAAAGACAGAAAGGAAAAAGAAAGAACGATATGTTTAGTTAATTGGACGGATTACAATGGCTACAATGACCAACGCGAGGGAACAGACAAAGAGTACTGGACATGGAGAAAATGTTCCTGGTGCATCATCGAGGGAAAAGTCCTATGACAAGTCTTGTACGGTGGCGGTGGAAATCACTGGGGGAAAAAAACTAACGATGATGGAATTGCTGAGAGGGATAAAGGAGGCCTTTGGAACGGTGACAGGGTGCACATTTAAAGGTGATCAGAAGTACGAGATAACGATGTCGCATGTCCATGGGAAGGAGAGGTTAATGGATGGTCTGAAGATCAAATCGTGCACGGTAATGGCGAGGGACATTTCAGCGGATGAGCTGGTGGTGTCCTTCATGAATTTACCAGTGTATATTAGTGACGATGCTGTCGTGGCAAAATTGGAAGGATGCGGTGTGACGGCGGTTTCGGGGATTAAGAGGAGGTTATGGCCATGAACAGAGATCGCTGATGGTACAAGATTCTGTAAAGTCCGGTTTACAGACGTGGTGCGCTCACTACCATATTCTACCAAGTTCGAGACGTTGGAGGGGACTGAGTACTTTCGGGGGATACACGACAGACAAGTTAAAGTGTGTCGAATTTGTATTCAGTCTGGACACGTGGCACGGGACTGTCCTGATTTTCTATGTCGGCGATGTGGAGTACGAGGGCACTATGCGAGAGAGAGCGTCGAGAGAGTGCGTCGAGAGAGAGCGTCGAGAGAGAGCGTCGAGAGAGAGGAGAGACCATGTAATGGATGTGGCGAGAGAGGAATGCGCTGTACGTGTAATGGGCCAACAGATGGTGAAGACATGGAACAACCGGAGGAGGAGATGGAAGAAGAGAGTGTGGAGGAGGGGGAACGCGATGGAGGACAGGGAAAAAGGAGGCAAGGATGGTGAAGGAGGAGGAGATGGTGAATCTACTGGGGCGGATGGGGATGGAATAGGGGCGAGCATGGACGTAGAATTCTTAAAATGGATACTTCACAAATGGAAAGGAGCCTGAGGGTGGAGGAGGAGGGGAGCAGAACACAGAAACATCTGAAGGTGAGGGAGATGATGATCACGGAAGGGGTTATACCTGACACTACTCCTGAAAGTATGGATGTGAAGGGTGAATCCGCGAAGAGGAAGGACTCTGAGGGTGAAGTGTCCTCGGGTGAAGTCCAAAGGGTGAGGAAAGAAGCAAAGGAAAGGAGGCAGGGCAAGATCAAGAAGAAGAAAAAAAAATTAAGACTGGGTCTTGATGATGGAAACAATCAACATAATACTTTTAAATTATGGTGAGTGTTATATCTGCTAATATTGATGGATTAAGAAATATGGAAAAGTTGGAACAGACAGTGAGTCTGCTACAGGCTGATATGTCATGCCTCCAAGAGACACACTGGACTGATAGTATGATGGATGGAGTAAGAATGAGATGGATGGATTTGATTTATTATAATAATGGTGGGGAGAGGAAGTGTGGGGTTGCTATATTAATTAAGAGGGAAAGTGTGCAGAATATTAGGCAAGAGTATGCGGATGAAGAGGGTAGACTTTTGAGTGTTACATTTGAATTTCTAAAATGTGCAATACACTTTATTGAATGTTTATGCACCTAATAGATGATACTGACCGAGCTGTATTTTTTTAAGGCACTTGAGAAACATTGTGTGGGTAAATGTATATTGGTTGGGGATTTTAACGTTACATTGACTAAACTGGACACGTCAAGGAGTACTTTGTTGCGCTCTGACATGTCAAGGCGAGTATTGTTGGGGATAATTTAGGATCATTGTGTGAGTGATGTTTGGAGGGGAATGCATCCAGGTCAGAGAGTTTTTTTTCAAGGAGGCAGGCAGTTTTAAAGGGTCTCAGGCAAAGCCGCATAGATTATTGTTTAGTGGTTGAAAATGTTGTGCAATATGTACACACAAGATTAGGTATGATTTTGTATGAAGTGATCATGCCTCTCTTGGGTTCATGCTGGGTCCTAGTGTGCCTTCTAGAGGGGGTGGAGTATGGTGTTTGAATGCTGAGCTATTAAAAGGAAAATATATTGATATTGTCACACCCTGGCTCTGAGGACTCTAATATGTTGAGCCAGGGTGTGTAGAGTCTGTGTTTTTGTTCTATGTTCTCATTCTAGTCAGTTGTGTTTCTATGTTGGCCGGTGTGGTTCTCAATCAGAGCCAACGTGAATCAGCTGTTGCTTGTTGTCTCTGATTGGGAACCATACTTAGTCAGCCTGTTTCCCACAGTGTATTGTGGGATCTTGTTCCGTGTTGGTTTATGTTTGTTAACCAAGGACTTCACGTTATCTTTTGTTGTTTTGTTCGTGTAATCAGTTAATAAATAAGTATGTTTGCAAATAACGCTGCGCGTTGGTCCTCCTCCTTCGACGATCGTGACAGATATGATTTCTGATTGTATTAATAGAGAAATAGAGTGATTTTAAACGTCTTAATACTGGATTGTGGTGGGAGGGTCTAAAAGAGAAGATTAGAGGGTTGAGTATTAACTATGCAAGACGGAGGAATTTTCTATTAAAGAGGGAGAGGATAGCTTTGAATAAAATACTTGAAATGGAGCTGGAAAAAGTTGATACGGTGGAGGGTTATGATATTGCAGGTTTTATGGAAGCTCAGGCTGCGGTACATACAGTGGGGGAAAAAAGTATTTAGTCAGCCACCAATTGTGCAAGTTCTCCCACTTAAAAAGATGAGAGGCCTGTAATTTTCATCATAGGTACACGTCAACTATGACAGACAAATTGAGAATAAAAAAAATCCAGAAAATCACATTGTAGGACTTTTTATGAATTTATTTGCAAATTATGGTGGAAAATAAGTATTTGGTCACCTACAAACAAGCAAGATTTCTGGCTCTCACAGACCTGTAACTTCTTCTTTAAGAGGCTCCTCTGTCCTCCACTCGTTACCTGTACTAATGGCACCTGTTTGAACTTATCAGTATAAAAGACACCTGTCCACAACCTCAAACAGTCACACTCCAAACTCCACTATGGCCAAGACCAAAGAGCTGTCAAAGGACACCAGAAACAAAATTGTAGACCTGCACCAGGCTGGGAAGACAATCTGCAATAGGTAAGCAGCTTGGTTTGAAGAAATCAACTGTGGGAGCAATTATTAGGAAATGGAAGACATACAAGACCACTGACCTCCTTCCATCAGCAAGGGCATTGAAGATGAAAAGTGGCTGGGTCTTTCAGCATGACAATGATCCCAAACACACCGCCCGGGAAACGAAGGAGTGGATTCGTAAGAAGCATTTCAA